CCCCATCGTACATATCCTTGATCGCGCGAGTATACGCGATGGGAACTCCTCTCGTCTCAAGGCACCTCCATAAGACCTCCCTTGGCACCCTATCGTACGCCTTCTCGAGATCAATGAACACCATATGAAGGTCCTTCTTCCTAGCCCTATACTCTTCCATTAACCTCCTCACGAGGTGAATGGCCTCTGTAGTTGATCTGCCAGGCATGAAACCAAACTGGTTCTCAAAGATGCATACCCCTTTCCGCACCCTATACTCAATGACTCGCTCCCAAACCTTCATGGTGTGGCTAAGCAGTTTGATGCCCAAATAATTGCTGTCAGGTACCCCCTATTTTGCAATAAAGAATGGCAGGTTCCATGTTTTTATAAAATATACTACTAGGGGCTTAAAATATATCATTAATGACTAAAGAGGTGAGTTCCGTCCATTGCACCGTTTGAGGTATTAATTTGTCCATTATATCCCTGGTTATTACCCAGAAATGCAAAAAAGAAAGGTGTACTATCTCCTTCTTCGATCAAAAGCAACTTCCTCTTATAGCGCTGTGATGATTGCCTTCCTTTAAAAGCTTCTCCATGGTAAGTAAATAGCTTCCTTATTGATTAGCATACACATTTCTTCATCTGCGAATCCCATTTTTTCCTTCATAATGTTTGATTATACTGAACATGGTTTAGGGTTTATCAAGTATCTTGGATTTATCATATTTCTTTTCGAATTAACTGAATATGAATATAGGGTTACTCAAATTCTTGTTCAATTTTACTGAACAACATGAATCTATGAATTTTTATTTTTCTATTTAATTTTGGTGAACAGGAATACAGCATTTTCATTGTTAAAATTTGTTTTGTTTTGTCAAATTTGTGTTGTTCTATCAAAATTGGAGCCAAGAGTTCCTAATTTTATTATTTTTCTTGTGATGAATGGCTATACAATTGTATATACTTCACTTTTTTTGTGTGTGTGTACTTTAGGCTCCATCAGGATTTAGAGTGTGTGTGAAAGATCAATGCATTGTGATAGCAGATATTGATTTGGATATTTACTTCACCAAAGATCTGTATGAAGATGTTATTTTAAAAGCTAAAGAACAGAATGTTAGTCTTCCGAGGTTTCTTGGTTTTACATACCATCCTCCCAATAAAGAAATTCAAAAACTGCCATTAGCTTCTGATTTAGATTGGATAAAGATGATTGAGGTTTGGGGTGTAGTTTCTTCAACTTACATTCCCTTATATGTGATTGAGCTGCAAGAGCATAGTTCATTACAAAAAATGGCTTAGAAACTTGATTCCAGTACCCAAAATTTTAATGAGGGCAGTGACAGTGAAGTTGAGTTTTGGGTTGACAATTTGCTTGTAACACCAACAAGTTGTAGTGACATTCTTGAAACTGAACTAAATACTGGTTACAAATTTAAGTTAAATGTGAGGAGGCAAATCAATAGGAGGACTGAAGTGCAGCTCCAACCATCTCTCTTACACCCTGAAGATGTATCCATTACTGATTCCTCTGCACAGGTTTCACCGATTACTGCAAGACCTGATAAAAGCCCTCGAGAGGAGTTTGTCAATGATGAGATACTTAAAAACAAGAAAACAAAGCATGTGGGGGGAGAAAGAAAACTATTTGAGAGGACTGAATTTAATGTGAAACTCTTGACAAAGGAATTGAAAGGCCTAGAAGCTTATGACATTTCAGCCCTGAGTAAACCCCAAATTCCTCCAGAAGTTCCTTCCTTAAATGTATTCTTTGAAGAGCCTGTTCTGCCATCTCAAAGTGAAGGTCTAAATCGGGAGAGGGTTACTGATGATGAAAAAGGATCCTGTGAAGATGATGAATAAGATTGTGATTTTGAAGGGAGTGAGGAAGAGTGTTTGAGTAGTGAGGAAGTTTCCATGGATGAAGAGTCAGCAATGGAGGATGACGTTGATCTTGACGCTGACACTGCCTATAGAATGATGCTGGGTAATGAAGAGGAAAATGAAGATGGGAGTGGTAGTCAGTCTATAGTGGATAAAATGGCTAAGGTGTTTAAGACTGGAAGACTATGGATCAGAAATAGCCATGGAAAAGTTGAGCTAAAAGAGGGTGACATATTTAGTTGCAAAGAGGATTTTCTTAGAGTCATGAAGGACTATATTATTCAAAAAGGCATTTCTCTAAGGAAAATGAAAAATGACAGGAGAAGATACACTCAAACGTGTAAGAATAAGGAATGTAAATTTAGGATACATGCATCTGTTCTAGTCGATGGCCACTCCTGGATGATTAAGAGCATCTGTGAGGATCATGTTTGTTCAGTGAAAGAGCACCACAAGAGGGCTGGAGCAACTTGGGTTGCAACTCGCCTTCTCGAAGACTTCAGAAATAATAAAGACATGAATGTAGGTACTGCACAAAAGATTATTTTGAAGAAGTTTAGCACTCATTTACCTGATTATACTTGCTGGAGGGCTCTTAGATCAATGAGGTCTATGGTTGAAGGTAGGCATGGGGATGGATATAAGATGTTACCACAGTACATGGAGGTTTTTATAGAGAAAAATCGAGATTCACAGTGCTTCATTAGGTGGCAAGACATAGGTCCAGGGGTAAACCCCATTTTCAGAAGATGTCAAATTTGCATAGGTTCATCCATCACAGCCTTTAAGCAACACTGTAGACCATTGATTGGTATTGACGCATGCCATTTAAAGGGTCCATATCAGGGAGTGTTATTAACTGCTATGGCCTTAGATGGAAACAATGGTCAATTTCCTTTGGCATATGGTGTAGCTGATTGTGAGGATGAAACGGAGTGGTCTTTCTTCCTACATGGACTAGCTGTGGCTCTTGGTTGCACTGCAGATTCTTCTAGATACACAATAATAAGCATGCAGTTAGATGTATTCTAAGGATGAATGAAAAGCTAGAGAACTATTGTGAAGATTGGTTTACAGTTGACAAGTACAGGAGTCTTTACGATGGTATCATACATCCTATCCCGGATCCATGCATGTGGGGTGAGAGCTCACTCCCAAAACTAGACCCCCCAAAGAACTTTAAAAAGAAGGGGCGTCCCAAGAAGCACAAAAGAAGAGATGGAATTGATGATATAATAGAAAAAAAGAAGGGGATGGCTCATGGAACCAAGCGTTGCAGCAAGTGTAAGCAGCTGGGGCACAATCACAGGACATGTGGGCAGAGTAGAGATGAAGGAGGAATGCTGCTGAAGAAGATACAAAAGAAGAAAAAAATCTGCAGTTGAAGTGTAGTAGTGATATGTAGCTTTTTGTTTTGTTTTTGGGAATTCAATGTTATGAAATTAACATCTAATGTTTTTTTGTATTTCAAACCACTAAATGGTGTCTGCTGGAAGTTTTTTGGTATATGTATCCAATTTCAAAACATGCTGTCATAATGGTTTTAGGTATATGCTGCCATGGTTTAAGGTTTAACTGCTCCAGTGCATCTGTTGGTGAAGTAGTGTCTATATTTGCAAATGGTGTTAGTCTCTGTATAAAGGAGTGTCTCTTGGGATGGTTTGTAGACTTTAAATGTTTCTTCTTTCTCTTTGTGACTGGTTTGAACTGGACTGTGTATTGGCTTGCATTTCTCTAACTGAACATCCCTTATTATTAAAAAGACATTTTTTTCACATTGAACATGCCTTCCAAAGTTCATCACAACAAATACATAAATTGTGTGTACATAAAAATTACAAACACCACTTCACTACAAGTACATAAATTCAGATCACATAAACAATACAAACACTGCAATGTTGAGCACAATTGCTACACCAAAGCCGAACAGAAAAGCTCCAATCCTCTTGTCTTTGATACGCTTCTTTAAGAACTTTATTTCTTCGTCTTTGGCATTGCTCTTCTTTAGAAGTCCGGGAATTATCTTCTTAGCTCGATCACATATTGGAGGGTCAAGCCATTCCCAATAACGACATTTCTGAGTACCCTATTTAATACCAACCAACATTATCAATAAAGAACCAATGTTTTTCTACAAGGAAAACAAAATTATATTACTTACATTTCCATCACACTTCCACATTCTTCTTCCAGGATTTTTATCAGTCCACGAAGTAATAATACTCATCTCTTTCCCACACCTACAAGCAGGCACCTCTAACCATTCACCATAATCACAAACTCTTCTTGATGAGGTGAAAGAGTGGCTACTACAAATATCAAACCACGAAAGCTATAGTTATATGTGAATTATTTACCATCATTCATATTAATAATATTGGGGTTTATACCTGTTTAGATCCATTACTTGGATCTAACGAGAAGATTGAGTTCCAATCTAGAATAAAATGTCGTGCAAAATGAATAAATCCCAAACTCATAACAATCAACTAACAAAGGGAAATATTGTTAAAAATTAACGAGTGTTTTTCAATACATGGAAAAACTCAGTGCCTCGTCTCTCTCCTTCGTCTTTCTGGTCTCGTCTCTCTCCTTCGAAGCTTCTGCGCAAAATTAAAACCCTAGGTTGGCGTCATAGTGGAGCATTAAAGAGGAAAGATTGAGGGTTAAATTGGGAATTTCAATACCTTTTAGTAATATTAAATTAACCGGAGTCAATACCTCAAACGGTGCAATGGACGGAACTCACCTCTTTAGTCATTAATGATATATTTTAAGCCCCCAGTAGTATATTTTATAAAAACATGGGACCTGTCTCTATTGCAAAATAGAGGGGACCTGCGACAGTGTGTTTGCCTCTGTAAACGAGAAAAGCCAAAAGTGAATAAACCCTAAAGGCCTAAACGCAGTCTGCGACAGTGTGTTTGCCTCTGGCCGAATTACATCAAAGTTTTCTTCCTCATCTGGGAATTGTTTCAATAATGATCACAGAGCTTTTCAAGAGGCGATTGAGCATTTTGTATTCGAGCTGGAGAACCGATAAAGACCTTTGGGCAGATTCTAATATCTTAGTTATCTGCACAAGATCGCAGACCTCCAATTTGAGATCGTCCCAAGCGTTTCTATGGCTATTCGGTCAAGATCTCGATGATACAGCGGTTGTCTTCACACCGTATTCGATTTTCTTTCTCTGCAAGCAGACGAGCTTCTCTTTTATGCGTACTTTGGTAGGCTGCGCTTCAGCGCTGATGAAAATCCCCATCTCTGTTGAACTTATGCGGAAAAGCGATGAATCGCCTTTCAAACTGGGAAAGATTGTTCGGAGTGTGAGAGCACGTCTTGTCTCTGGCGATCTTAATCGCCCTTTAACTGTTGGATATATTGACAATGAGATTCCAAAGTTGGAGTTTTTGGTGAATGATTACGCCAAATATAGGATTGTGAATGTGAGTTCTGGGGTAGCAAATGTTATCTCTGAGGGTGTTCATGGTGCTGGTGAAGTTCATGGTTCAATTTTGGCTGATGATATGCAACATAAGCGAGGGATCAAAAGGTCTATAACTGACAGAATGGATGCCCTGAAGTTGACAGATGATCTATTGGAAGAAAGTTTGGGAAAGCCAGAGAACCCTAATCAAAATGCTCTGTTCCAGCGTTTTGAGAATATGGCGTTAGCTTTAGGGCCGAGTGAGACTAGCTGTGAGAAGAGTATTGATTTGAAAATCACATTAAATACTTTGGAGAAGTTAGAGAAGGTTGATAAACCTTCTTCAGTTGTAGATCAAGTGGGAAACACACAGTCCAAACTGGGGGCGGAGACGGGCATTGAGTCATCTACACTTGGAAAGGAGTTCCGGAAGGAGGTTGATGATACCGACAGCACTAACGTAAGAGATCACTTTTCCAGGACGACTGAGGTAGGTATTAGGGTTGTAATATTTGAATAATTTGGCTCAATTCATGATTTGTATTTGTATGCGTACATATATAATCTACATGTGCATCCACACAGGCATTATATTTGTTCAAAATGAGTATCCAAACAAATTAATCTAGTATCAATTTCATTGGAATTGTTTTGTGTATTGATCAATCAAGTTAAATCAATAAAATTGGGTCAAACTAAGATAACATAAAATCATAAATATTTGATTTTCAGTAGTTATATTTTGTGAAACGTAATTTTTGTTTAAGTGCATTAATGTTCTAAACATATAGTATCAGGAATAACGTATGTTAAAATGTTCAACATTGATATTGCATATCATTTAAATTATGACTACTACCAAGAGTATTCGTTTAGGATTCGCTAACTATTTGAATATCATTCAAATATAAATCTCATTTACAAGACGTTCCATATTTGGATTCAAAGTTGTATTAAAAAAATAAACAAATTCAAATTCAAATACTCTTGTATTCGATTCGGTTTGGTTCATTTACGACTTCAGTCGGTATGCTCAGTTTTAATCAAGAAAAGCTGCTATGTTTGCAGGATCCCGAAAAATTTAAACTAGGTTGGGAAGTTGGTGCGGTTATTAATGAAAAAGAAGCTGAACAGGGGGTGCTTAGAGAGCTTAAGAAGAAGCTGACCTTATTCTATTCGAGCTGGAGGAAATATAGGAAGGAATTATGGGGCGAGTGTGATGTATTGGTGATAAGCACCCCACCATTTGGGCCAACAATGGATACATCGCACCCTTCAATATCCTCTAGCTTCTACCGGTGGTTGCTTGGTCATGAATTTCCAAATACAACAGCTGTGTTTATGGATCACACAATTCATTTTGTTTGTCCAAGTGAATATTTCGCCAGACTTCGTTCTCTTGGAACCACAATAACAAATGTCGCGAGAGTTTCTGTTTCAATCATACAGAAATTTAACGCCGATGCTGAATTGGAACTGGTGGATGTGGCCTTATATGCTTTGAGAAAACACCAAGTTAGTCATCAACCAGTTATTATTGGGTATATTGATCGTGAATCTCTGAAGTCAAGGTTCCTTGATAGTTGTGGCGCAAAACTGGACGAGCAAAGGCTTCAAGCTGTGAATGTGATTAGCGCTCTGGTGAAGCTTATCAATGAAGAGGACGAGTCAACATCGCTTCAAAGACAATGTTCAGATACGGCCGAAGTTGAATTAGAACTAGCTGAAAACTATCAGCAGATGTGCTTGCTGAACAACAACAATGCTATACCTGCAAGTTTGATCTCAAATGAGCTGCAAAATGATAAGTTCTTGAAAGAGGACTCCAAACGCATGCTCGTGATACAAAAGGGTGAAGAGACTAAGTGGGTACTGGAAGAGGTTGATAACAAGCTGCCAACCCAATTCGCACAGGTTAACATTTCAGTTGAAGACAAGTCTGATGACTTGTTTCCACCCATTGAAGACAACACGGAAAGTGAGCTTGTGGTTGATGAGGGCAAATCAAGTAATGCTGAACAAGGGGTACGGCCAGAGAAAGAGCAAGAATATTGTGGGTCCAATGAAGATGCTGACTGGGAGATTATTGAGAAGCAGCATGACGGACAAGAACCAGTTATTGCCAACAATAGTAGCTGGACGAGGTATTTATGAATCTTTAAATTCATCTGATTTCTTGTAAATTTGCTTTAGCAATCTCAGACTTGGCATATGATCTCATTTCGACAGATGGATGGGCAAAGCATTTAGCTCAGTGGCACAAGGTAGATTGTCCTAAAGCATCCAGAATTGAACATTATGGGGGGATTTGTATCTCATTGAGATTTATATCTAAACAGATTCTGGTGAAAATCTAAACAAGTTTGAGGATCAAAGGATTATGTTTCATCCATCTGGTGAAAATCTAAACAAGTTTGAGGATCAAAGGATTTGTACAATTTGTGGAAATATTGTTTTCATTGCATATCAGAATCTTCAACTCACTACGATTAGTTATTCTTGAAACTGCAACATAGAGTTTTCCATAACTAAACACAGGTTTCCGTAACAATACTCCAACATGTTTCAGAGATTGTCCCTGGCTCTTGTTAATCGTCATTGCGTACGAAGTAACCACGAGAAATTGTCTTCTTTGAAACTTGAATGGAATTCTTGTATCGGACGGTGTTAATGATAATCTTAGAATAACGACTTCTTCACCCATGTGGCTTCCTGATAATATTTTTCCTTGTATTAAGTGATTAGCCAATCGGGTTACCATCAACTATGTACCATTACATAAAATCATTGAATGGTCAATATTTCTCAACAACATAATAGGCGTGTTTACCTTTAGAGTTAGCTCATGATTCGGTACACCAGAAGCGTGAATCTTATTTAAGAATTCGGGAGAGTGTAGGTCACCGAAAAAATTTGAACTGCAATCTGAGTTCTCAACTTTGTCAGAACTAAGGTATGCTCGAGACTCGTTGCTTGGATTCATTGTTGTCATATACTCCCTCCGTCCCAGAGTATTTGTCCACTTTCATTTTTACACACCATCCAATGCACTTCTTTAATCCATTTTATCTTGTAATTTGTATATTAAAAAGTTATAGAAATTATATATTAATAATCTATATGTTAAGACAAATCAAACAAGAGCACACATGACTATATTTAGGCTTACACATTGAGAGAATTTGATGAGTCAAAGTGCTTAGATGAACAGTTCCAAAAGTCAAAAGTGGACAAAAACTGGGGGGCGGAGGGAGTATTCATTTATGGAATCGACGACATCCAATAAAATGTTTACATATAATTAAATTTAATTTTTTAAAATATTTATTATATGTAAAATATAAAATAATGTAAAACTAACTTCTGAGTCGTGAAAAATAATATCCAATGTTCTTAGTTTCATCATCAATCAATAGTCCTGACATCAACATCTTTTAAAGCGGTTATGATCCCCATGTTCATACAAAAAGCGATATTGAAGCACCAAATTAAAACACACCTTGATTAATCTTACTTCCCTGGCTTGGAAAACTACCGTATTTATAGTATATGTAAATGTAATAAAATTTGGTTGATGTATAATAAAATTTACAAATTTTGGTGTGTAATTGCCACAAAATAATTTGGTAAGAATAAAATAATTATTCTTACCATAATTATTTATTAAACGTAACTCACTGTATAATTGTACAAGTTACCTTTTTTAATTATTTCCAATTTTCTAAATCTTAGGCTTTGCAATTGTATAACTTACCTTTATTTAAAACTTACGATTTGGAATTCTATAATAGGCAATACGCTATTACCTTTATTTAAAATTTAAAACTTACGTTAATAATGTATGTTAGATTTTAATTTTTAATATGTTAATTACTATAAATATAATAAATATATTTATAATTAAGTCACACTCCATATAAACAGCATCAGCAAATTCCTTTTTATATTTTTTAAAAAGGAAATTACCTTTATTTAAAACTTATGTTAATAATGTATGTTAGATTTTACTTTTTAATATGTTAATTACTATAAATATAATAATTATATTTATAATTAAGTCACACTCCATATAAATAGCATCACGAAATTCCTTTTTTAAAATGATTATGTGTTAAAACAGATAATTACCGTGTGATAAAAAAGGAAGTGTATTTATTATAGCTTTTAAAGCATTTTTTAGATTAATAATAATAATAATTATTTTTTAGCTTAATAATATCATGTTTTTAAAAAGTAATTTTAAAAAATCAGAGATAAAACAGTTTGTTTTCAAAAGGAAATTGGGAGTTATCTTTTTAAATCATTTTCAATTATCTTTTTTGTGAAATTGGGTATATAATTGTATAAATTACCTTTTTTTAAAAATTATTTCTAATTATTTTTTTTTTGAAAAATTGAGTGTATAATTGTATAACTTACCTTTCGTAATTATTTCCAATTAGGTGTATAAAAATGACAGTTGCTTGCGGTATTAAAATACCGTGTGATGAAAAAGGTACAAATTCCGAACGCCCCTACACCATAAAGAAGAGGCTAAAATTAATGTACGAAAGGAACTGTATGGAGTGTACCAAAAAAAGAGGCAAGTTATTACGTACGAAATTAATTTTTTTAGATTAATAATAATTATTTTTTAGATTAATAATTTCACGTTTGTAAAGCCATTATGTGTAAAAATTAATATTAATTTTAACTTCATAATAATTAACTTGCCATTTGTAAATGTAAACGCATGGAAAATTAAGCACATGCTTAAGTTTTTAATAATAATTATTATATTTTCGGCAACTTACCATTTTAAGTGAACAATTGTCATTTGTTAATGTAATAAAAATTATCATTTTAAGTGAACAATTACCATTTTGTAAATGTAATAACACATGGAAAATTAACCACATGAGTAAGTTTTTAATCATTATTATTATATTTTCGGAAACTTATCATTTTAAGTGAACAATTGCCATTTGTTAATGTAATAACGCATGGGCGTGAAAAACTCCGTGTCTTTTTAAATAAAGTATGAATATGATTATTTTATGACTACGAAAAACATGATCCCCCCACATTAATTTAGATTAGCAAAAAAAAGATTAAAATAATTGAGTTGTCTATTCTTTTATTGATTTTTAATGTACAAATTAAAATATATTGTAAATTTTTAATTTTATATCAATATTTAAATAAATAGAATAAAACTAACTTCATTTCTGCATATTATAAACAACTATGAAACTTATTTAGAGGTGAAGAGTGTATCTTATCTATTTATTTAAAGTATTATTATAAATGAAATGAAAATAATATAAAGTTAATAACGAATATTCTAAAAAAACATATATCTCTATTCTATAATTAAATTTACTCAATGAGGGTGAAATTGTAAAGAATGCTCATGTAAACATTAGAAGGGACAGTGATACATAATTAAAAGTATCATACTCCATAATAAATATTTAAAAATAGTTTCATTTCAAGATAAATCATAAATAATAAATCATCTAAAAACTATAAACATAAATTATTGAGTAATTGAATCAAATCATAAAATCCATATGCTCCAACTATCAAATTATATCTAGTGTTAAATATGACAGATATATTTCTCATTCTATTTAGAATATCTTGTTTCCTTATTGACCTAGACTATACCTCCTCCCGTGTATGTATAAATACCCCCGTATATGATGAATGAAGTACTCAGTTCACAACTGTTGAACTCTTGAAGAGAGAATTTGAGACGGAAGATCTTGACATGATATAAATTATACTTAGGATTGTATTTTAAACTCCTATATGATGGGACATTTGTCCATAAGTTAAATTACATCCAGAAGATGTTAACATGTTGAAATATGGATAAAGCTCATCCTTTGAACATACCCATAGTTGTTCATTCATATATATACATAACATTCTAATCGCCTCCCAGAAGAGGGCGAAGAAGTACTTGGTAGGGCCTTCAGTACCAAATTTTAAGTGTGAAATTACACAGGTAATGTGTTCACATATGGTGATACGACTTTTTCTTGGAAGTCGACTGAGCGAGCACGAACAACAACATGGAATCAAGCCGAACTAATAGCATTATACAACAGTGATCGAGAGCGAGCATGGTAGAGATTGATGATCAATCTAATACAAGGAGCATGCAGTTTGAGAGAAATCAAGAAGAATGCTACGATTATATATAAAGATAACACAACATGCATAGCTCAAATCAAGGAAGGCTACATCAAAGGAGACAGAACGAAGCAAATCTCAGCAAAGTTTTTCTCAACATCTAATCTGCAGAAAGAAGGAGAGATCAATGCTCTTCATGTTAAATCAAGCAAAATTTGGTGGACTTATTCACCAAATCTCTACCTAGACACAATTTTGAGCAACTCAAAAAGAAGATTGGACTTTGTAGGCTAAAAGAGATAAATTAGTTTGAGGGGGAGTATATTTTTATTTTGAGAGAAAATAGTATACACGCTGTACTCTTTTTCCCTTAACTAAGTTTTGTGATAGGCGTGTCGTAGAACCTAAAAAATTAATTTAATATTTTCCTTTACTTAGTTCCTCCTTGTTAAAATAATATTTATTAAACATGTAAATAGGATAAGTAAGGGTCGATCTCACGAGGAAAGATGCTTTTCAGGTTATGAAAATCGGTTTACTTTGTCACTTTTTATTGAGTAAAAACAACTATCTAAAATCTATAAACTAAATTAAAAGATGGGGGGGGGGGTTTGAAAAAGTGTTTTCTAAATAAAGTAAAAAAACTAACTAAAGTGACACACCACACCAAAACAAATCTCGAAACAAACCAAAGATAAAAACAGAACATAACTCCACCAAGAAGCCCAAACAAAGAAGACAAACACATAACACAATAATTTAGAGACTTAAACAAATTTAGAAAACCAACAAAGTGTTTTATAATATAGAAAATAAATATCCAGGATCAAAACTTTGATAAAATCTAGCGTAATCATCAACCAACTTTAAATTAAAACGAGGGTCCGGCTGAAAAAGAGGTCCACCAACGGCTCTTCCCTATTTTCCCATTCATAAAAGCTCATGTTAGGACCAACCCTAACTCTAAACCCTACTACCCTTAGCAACCGAAAGACCAACCCTTAGATTACTACTAAGAATAGTGCATTAAGATTTGTGGAAAACATCACCGTAACAATCCTGCAGTAACACGAAGGTTATTTAACAAAATCAGTTTGAGAACCTTGATTAGCAAAAACCACTTAACGAGGCGGCCTAGGTTAAAGTTCACTGTGAACCAAAGATCTTTTCAAGCCGATAAATTTCGTGAAACCTGAAATTTTCTTATAGTAAAATTTAACCTAATCCAGCGCTAGGATTAAACTGGGTTGAATTCATTTTAGTTAACTTTTCATCAAGAGTTTGTGGAAACTTAATTAAATTTCCATCGTAAAACTTGAATTATTTTAAGAGTATTAAACTTAAAGTAAAAGTGTAAACCCATAGACAGATTTAATTTTAAGCAACAAGATTCAATACTTCCTCTAAAAATTCTGGTTTCAAATGCTATTTTTGACAAAATTATTTCCTAGACAGCACAAACACAACAGTCCAAGAACCTGCTTCATAAATTTGCTACGAAACTGCCAATCACTTTCAACCTTAAATCAATGTTTACTTCCCAAAAGCCATATCATAAATTCATAAGTAATGATCAGTAAACAAAAAGGAAGAACATTATCCCAAAGGATACCTTTTAAAACAACACAGTCACCATAAAAATCTCTATTCGCAGCACTTATGACAAATTCCCTTCACACTATTTATAGCAAAACAAAGTAACTCTCAAGTAGAAGTTTTGATAAATTGAAAAATCAAGAACAGAACAAAAGGAAACCAAATTGAAAAGAAAGATCAACTAAAGTCGTAAAAAAAAAGAAAACTACAAAAGAAGATAACAAAAAGGGGGTTTCGGATGCAAGATCCGAACCCCCTAGGGTTCATACCCTTTGGATTGAGCTCTGATTTTCTTCTTGATTGGTGGTGGTGATGTTCTTCGCAGCGTCTCCTTGAATTTATAGGCGCTAGCTTTGCCTCTTCCGTCTTGGATTAGGGTTCTTGACGCTGATTTCTTGCTGTGCATTCTCCGGCTCCAGCTATGCTTGAAGAAGCCGTCCCAACGTAGGAGAGGGAGTCTTCGGCTCTTCTATCTCACACGTCTCTCTCTTTTTCTCTTTTTTAAGCAGCTTCTCTCAAACTTCTTGTGTGTATTGGAGGTGGACCTTTGGGCTTTGTCATCTTGGACCCGGATTTCCTTTGAAACCATAAGTCGGGGTAGAGCCCAACTGGATTGCTTTCACGTTTTCAGCCCGCATTTTATTCTCCAAAGATATATCTAATAACCTTTGTCAAGGAGAATTTGGGCCCACAACAATAATATTCAAAAATAAACTGAAAAGTGTGCATTATGAACATATTTTATAAACGATGCCTAGAATGCAAATATGATCATTTAAGTGTAAAAATGCACTTTTTAATGCCTGAAAATACTGATTTGATAGAGAATAATGAGTGAATATTTTGGACTCAACATTTTGTCCCACTGGGCTTTTTTAGTAAGGTTTTTAATGAAGCAGCATAACTGATCCTGCAGTATCAGTTAATATAGGTCCTGAAGAACCTAGCCAACATTATCCCGTAGCATAATGTTGTTAGTGTATAATGAACGATGATATATCTGAGGGGGAGTGTTAAATATGGCAGATATATTTCTCATTCTATTTAGAATATCTTGTTTCCTTATTGACCTAGACTATACCTCCTCCCGTGTATGTATAAATACCCCCGTATATGATGAATGAAGTACTGAGTTCACAACATCTAGAACTTTGTTTTACTTTAACATTTTTATAGTTCAGTCATCTCTTGTTTTATATAATTCTATTACAGTTTTTAGAAAAAGAAATAACATAAAATATGAGTAAACAATAACTCTTATCTTCAAAAGTAGAAGTGACATGATTCTATTATCAAAATAGAAATTTTTCATGCACGGGATTGAATAAAATTTTAATTGATTCTGTCAATTATCTTCAATGTAATATGAAAGTATATGTAATGCGTTGTTTAGACATTAAAATCAAAGTAAAATAAAAAATTTAGCATTTAATATTTGGTAATGAAAATTCTCATATATAAACTCAAAAGCAAATATCTTAAAACCTTTTTAAAATTCATACTTTTTAAAACATTCTGAGAATATAATATTTTTGGTGTGGTTGCAAGATTTCATTATCATTTAGAACTAATATTTTTAACTCTGTCTTTGTTTTTACTGGTGAACAATAACATAAAATTGACTATGAGTGAATTTCAACTTAGTGTAAATAATCAAACAAATAGCAATATTTGACCTGGACTTTTGTTCATAGTCATAGCAAAACATAAAGAGTTCATCGTCGTATATCTTCATCTGGTCTTCATTCATTTTAGATATATAATGTTTAAGATTCGATGATAATTTTTTTTGTCATTGTTCAACTCCTCTATCAAAAAACTTTTTTAAAATCTATTAAGTTAAATGTCATCAGGGAATTGCATACCATCAAACTCTTTTCATACTAATCTTTATATATATAATAAAAATTATTTTTTAATAAAAATACCTAAATTATGCAATATTTATCTTCTGTCAAATAAATCTCATCAACCAAGAGATTCCATGATTTGTGCTAAACAACTTAAAAACGACTCATGGTATTTATCAATAATATTGTGACAAACAATTTTTTATTTATTTTTATTTATTATTTTTTTGTTTCAAAATTCTAATTAAATTAAAGGGTAATGTTATTTTGATTTCAAATTTTTTAAGTAATATTTACATTGGTTTGTATATTTTAAAATAGATTTATATTATTAGTTTATGTTGATTATTTGTGGGAAAAATCTATAGAAAGTATGTAAATGCTCAATGTATCCATGCTAAAATCTAATACTACATTGAAAGGGGAAAAAAGTTAGAAATGGAAATGATAATGTTTCTTTATTACATAACACATGCCTTATTTATATGTTGATGCACACACTCTATTGCATTCTGGAAATTTCATGAAGTGTCAAAATTCTAAATAATTTTTTTAGTTACAAATATGAATTTTAGTTAGAGTCTCAAATTTATATACTCCGTGTAAAGGATAAATGATTTTCTTTCAAAGGAAAGTAGATGGCGAAGGAAATCTAGTTCCGATCAATTGGCTGCGGATCAATTCAATTCAAGAATGGAAAGCTGCGATTGTTTGAGAAGGAGAAGAAACGTTCCTATTTTTTACGTTATTTTGTGTCAAAAGAGAGCAGATGGCGAAGGAAATTTTTCTTTTGCAGATTTTTTTTCTTTAATGCCAATCAAATTGCCACACCACCATTATTTGTCTAAAATGGTGACACATAAGTTTCGCCACTTATCACCCTTTAGATTCGCCAAATGTCACACTCCTGCAGTTCGGAGTCTGTTATATATATATAAAGGATATGTACACACAAATGGCAAAAAAGAGATGCTCAGGGTACACGTAAATGGTGTAGCTTGTTTGTACACTACACAAACAGAGTTACTATGCGCCTGTGAATCATCCACATGATGTTTGTGTTGTCTTTGGTCTGGTGTACACTTAAAAAATTAAGTATACACCACAGATTAAATTGCAAAAAATCACATAAGAAATGTTTTCAAAAATAACTTCACAAAACACTTGAAAAAATTATTTAACTTTTTTCTAGAAAATGAAAAATCACAATGCAAAAAATCACAAATCAACCAAATTTATCACGTAAAATGGAGCTTAAAAATTAAACCATAGATCAACCAAATTTATTATGTAAAATCGAGCTTAAAAATTAATCTCCACTACTCGATCTTGGCTCAACTAGCGAACTTCTCTCCAAACATCTACAACAGTTATCGTTGGCCGACAAACTTTCTTCTTCCCGCAGAATCTCGATACGTAGGTTGTCTTGTCTCCGGCCGGGTTTTACAATGGGATGAAATCAGCTGACAACAAAGGGCGTGATGCTAAGGATAAAATTAGATTGGGTTTAAATTGATAAAGCGGAATGCAATTAGTTCATATCTAATCATAACAATAGTCAATTACTTATAGAGTTTCAATAAAGTTTTTGGTGAATTTACTTTCCTTTTATCCTCATGGATTATGCAATGGATCCAATTTGTACATACCGCTAATTATGATGGACATATTTTGGGGGTTCAAAGGAAGATGCACTAATTGTGTGTTCATGACTTAATAATAATGTACCCAGTGCCATTTACCCATGAAGTCTTTATAAAGTTTTGTGTTTTCCCCAAATTGCTCGTTTTCATGGAAATAATACAAATTGTGAGTATCCTTTTCAGAAGGATTTATTTGATCCTATGTTCATAATGCAAGTAGTATAATTCACATGGGCACATTCACTTCACATTATTCAGATTGGACAATGCCCCAAAGTGAGAGGATAATAGAATGAATGAGTTTCTTCCAACCCCAAAAAATGGACACAACTTTTTCTACTCGCAAGCTACAATCGTCGGCTCCATCGCGGCATAAACATCTCTTTCACACATCTCTGGGCTGATGCTTATAATCCCTTCTCCCTGTTGTGTACAATTCATGCAATATACTTTTTAGGTGTAACATTTTTGTTCCATGTAATAAATAAAGAATAGAGGCTACATAAGAATTAACTTACCTTTGCTATATTTCTGAAGTATGTGGTTTTGTAACTCTCTGAAGGAAATAAAGCTTCAATGATATCTGCTAGGACCAACTGGGGCTGAGAAACAGCTCCATCATACCAATCTTCGTTTCGCATTTTTTTTTACAAGAAAAAACAAATAAACAATGTTATATATAATTTCATTGGAATTTGTATGTAAATGGATATATTATCTCCACTTACATGTTTTTTTTGTCCGAAATTAATTGTATGTTTTTAAAATTATGTAGTATTTAATAAAGAAATTATGATCAGTTGTCTAAAATACCTTACATATGCGTGGGCATTGTTGACATGAATGAAAGACAGAATGGTTTCAATGATACATTTGTTCTTTAGAAATGAGATGTTTTAGAAAGTGGGCAACTAATTCTGAAGTACATGTTTAGTGGGGAAGGCAAACTCACCGAGAACTGTGTCGTTCTGTACTCTTTTATCGTATCTCCACAAGCTTCGGTTCGAAATGAAAGTGAAGCAAGATTGATCTTCCACGCCAACGTTTCCAAGAAACGTGGAGACATTGTATGCCGTTGGATCAGATGCGTATGTTTCATCAATCACTACATCAACAGTCTACATAATAGATAAACAACACAACAGTATTAGATCTGATCCAAAAAATGTGCTTTTTAATTTAGTACTTAGAAAGTAGGAAACAATATGGCTCAAACATACACATAAGATGGCATGAAAATCTTCAATGTCATCAGGCATTGACATGTTGTATGTAATCTTATTAATGGATTCGTCGACGTTCACTCCACCGGCATCCTGCACAATCTGCATATACCCAAACTTATATATATATATATATATATATATATATATATATATATATATATATATATATATATATATATATATATATATATATATATATATATATATATATATATATATATATATATATATATATATATATATATATATATATATATATAAGTACAAGAGAGTAGTGTATGCACATAAATTGTTCCATACCCTAATATAATAGATAAATCCATATTACCATATATGTATGGTTCATGCCAAAATGCCAGTTTCTTGCTGTTTAGAGAAGAAGAATATCACATCTTTAAAGTTTACCTTTAGCTTGTAGTCCTCTTTTGTGAAAGACCACACCTCCTGCATGCAAGTAGAACATAGTTACAAAAAAAAAAAAAAAACTAACATAACTAATTCGAGACGAAGGGAATATAATACAGCCGGGAAATTACATTATTGTCATACTCCACCCAAGCGACTGTTGGTTTAGATGAACTAGACTTGGTTGTTGCCGCTTTACTCAAACACAAATAGTTTCCCTTTATCTGCCCAAAAAAAAACAGAGAGAAGAGAGAAACCTTCCATTAAAGCTTTTAAAGATTGATCAATTTGTCATTCTGGGAAAACCTATTTACTCAGCACAGCTTAAATTGGTCAATTAATTAGTCAAGAATGATCACTTACTGCATCATATACTAAGTTGGCTCTGCTCTCTTGGTTTGAGAAAACACCCAAGTACTTGATCCACTCTGCACGCTATTACAAAAATAATTACCGAGTTAGGTCCAAAAACAATAACGGAGTATTTTGTACTCCCTCCGTCCCAAAAAACTATTTCCACGAAATTACACAGAATACTTGTATGCCGAAGGTAATTCGAGCAAGTAATTAAACCAAATCTCACCCTTTCTCCATGAAATCATCAAGTGTAATGGGACCCTTTGCGATATTAAATGCTAATTTTAATTTAATTTACACAACAATATAATATAATTATACAAACGCATGCATTATACAAACGAGAAAATTAGAGAGTATATATTGTGTTGTTGTGTGTACCTTGAGTGGGGTGTCTTCACTAGTTGGAACAAATGTTGCAATGTTGCAATACTGTGCATAATTTTCAGTGTTACCAGCAGTGAAATGGACAACATATTGTTTAAGTTGTTGAGAATCAGTTTTGTTTATTGTCTCCACTTGTCCATCATGGTATAGCTTCAATATACACTCTGAGGCCACCTTATCAGATGTCATCCCCTTTAACTTTCCCACTATCCCTAGCAGCTGTATGTAAGTCCCCATGCATATTATATATTAATTACTCTACTAAATATAAATACAAATATAAATAAAAATATAAATATATACGTAGTATATAAATACAAAGACAGAGCTGGAGGTCTCTTGGAAACAGTCTCTCTACTTTTAGTAGGGGTAATGTTTGCATACACACACCCTCCCCAAACCCTGCTTTTGTGGGATTCTACTGGGTTATTGTTGTTATAAATATATGAGGGTGAAACTTTAGATTTTGCGGCAAAAAAGAAAAACCGAGCGATCAAGTCCTGGCAAGAACATGAAGCCTATTAGCAGCATTATGTTGTTGTTCATGTATTATTAATGGCCATGTGGAAAGTCATGTAGGGGCATGTGAAAAGTCATGTATAACTATCTATATATTGGGAGATCAATGAGAAGAGAGATCAAGGGAAAATAAATCTTCTATCATGGTATCAGAGACTTGGGAGCTTGTATCTAGACAGTCGCATATGAATATTATTCGGTGTATGTGGATTTTTACTCATAAAATGAAGGAGAATGGTTCATTGGATCGGTATAAGGCTAAACTTGTGTGTGATGGCCGATCTCAGCGGATTGGCGTAGATTGTCAGAAAACATTTAGCCCGGTTGTGAAACCGGCCACTATACGTACGGTACTGAACATTGCTCTATTTCATATTTGGGATATTGGTCAGCTCGATGTGAAAAATGCTTTTCTTCACAGGAACTTGCAAGAGACAGTTTATATGTACAAGCCTTATGGTTTTCGTGACCCACACCACCCTCATCATGTGTGTCGCCCAAACCGGTCCCTGTATGGTCTCAAACAAGCCCCACGGGTTTGATATCAATGCTTCATGTCATATGTGACATCTTTGGGGTTCCGACATAGTTCGTGTGATCATTCACTTTTTATATACCAACATGGAGGTCAGACTGCATATCTACTTTTATATGTGGATGATATTGTTCTTACCACCTCTTCTTATGCATTGAAGGCTTGGATTATGTCAAAGTTGTCTTCAGAATTTGCCATGAAGGATCTTGGACCACTGCATTATTTCTTGGGGATTTCAATTGCCCGCGGCAAATCTGGGATGTTCTTATCTCAAACAAAGTATGCCATCGAGATTCTTAAACGGGCAAATATGTCATATTGTAACCCAGTTGCTACTCCCGTTGACACCGCCAGTAAGACTAGTCATTCCTCCAGGGATTTTTTCGATAACCCCACTCTGTTCTGAAGTCTTGCTGGCGCACTTCAGTACCTTACATTCACGCGGCCAGATATTACTTATGCGGTTCAGTAGGTATGTGTGCATATGCATGCTCCACGGGTCTGTCACTATACCGCTATCAAGTGCATCTTACGGTATCTCAAAGGGACTCTTAACATGGGTTTGCTTCTCACTCCCAGTCCACCAGGACATCTTGTGTCTTATACCGATCCTGACTAGGCCGGCTGTCCTCATACACATCGGTCCACTTCTAGTTTTTGCGTGCTTTTGGGGGATAATCTTATTTCATGGTCGTCTAAGCACCAACCGACTATTTCCTGATCTAGTGTCGAGGCCGAATATCGGGGAGTTGCTAACGTTGTGGTAGATTTATGCTGGTTGCGCAATTTATTGTTGGAATTGGGGTGCCCGATACGGAAAGCTTCGGTTGTTTATTGTGATAATGTTAGTGCTATTTTTATGTCTAATGATCCAGTTCAACATCAACGCACTAAACATATTGAGATTGACATCCATTTTGTCCGAGAGAAAGTCCATAAGGGAGAAGTTTGGGTTCTTCATATTCCATCTAGATTTCAGATTGCAGACATCTTCACGAAGGGCCTCCCTCGAGTTCTCTTTGTCGGTTTTCGGTCCAGCCTCAAGATTCGTCATCCTCCTCCTCCGGCTGAGGGGGTATATTAGCAGCATTAGATTATTTTGCAACATACTCCCTCCGTCCACAAATAAACTTTACGTTTACTATTCACAGGGTCAAACTTTATTCACTTTATTGGCCTATTTTCGTCACCCATTTGTTAAAATAATATAGTCATGTCACCTCTAGTTTTGTAGATCTTTTGATATAGTAATTTTTATTTTTCAATTTTACACCATTTTTCATATAAAATGATTTGAGAATAACTTAGTCAAACATCGTAACGCGCAATGTAAAGTTTATTTGTGGACGGAGGGAGTACATGTATTATTAATGGGCATGTGGAAAGTCATGTATGAGCATGTGAAAAGTCATGTATAACTATGTATATATTGGGAGATCAATGAGAAGAGAGATCAAGGGAAAATAAATCTTCTATCAAAGCCGATCAAGGTGAGAATCGGAACCAGACATGGATAATCAGAACAATCAGTTGAAGACAATTTTAGGGCAGCAATTATCGATGCAAAATTGCAGAGTTGAAGAAATCCGAGCAGAGCAAAAGAGCACGTTAGAGAAAATGATGGAACTACTGGAGAAGACGAGTAGTAATGGAAATGTTCCCAGTGCGGACTTAAACAAATATGGAGGAGGCTGTGCAATTTGCTAGGTTACAGGAGGGTACATTTCAAGCTGCCAGAAATGTTCCCTGTGCGGACTTAAGGCCATTTCAATTTGCTGCATTATTGCCTACACCTGAGGGGACTGTAACATACAACAATAACAGTCTTTTCACTAAATCCAGTGGCAATACTAATCCAATAAGCTATGAGACCAGTTCAGTTAACAATAGTGTAGAAACATTTGAACCTACACTAAGATTGCATCAGCAGCTAAAATGACAGAAAAGAATGTCAAGGGTTTATGCTATTCCTGTGATCAGCCGCCGTAAGACAGGTTTCCAAGTGATGACATGGACTTTGAGATATTAGAAGGGCCAAATATACTCAAAGGCGATGGGAGAAGCTAGTCATTTATCCAGCAGAATACAAGCTACAACGCCAACGGAAACAAAGGTGCAAGTTTGGGTTGCTAAGGAGTGGCAATGCTTAGCTGCTTCTACTAACACTATGTTTGGTTCAAGGAATTAGGAAGGAAAAGAAAAGAAACTGAGTTTCTCTCATTTTCCTCACCAAAATAGAAAGAATATGGTTTTTCCTTCTCTTACACTATGTTTGGTTCAAGGAATATAGAAGAAAAGAAAAGAGAATGATTTTTCCTCATTTTCCTCTCTTGGAGTTCCCACATTGGAAAATAAAGATGAGTATCACTTGCATATTGAAGGGTGAAGCCCTACCTATCAGCTTAAACTTTGGGTTAGAATTGTGGATCCCGACTTTATATGCAAGTGGTTAATTTTACCCAACACTCTATCCGTTGTTCTTGGCTTGCCGGAATTTTTAACATGGTATCAGAGCACGTCCGGTCCGGGTTTGATTGTTCCTCGTTGTTTAGATGTGAGTTTAGCAAAAATGAGCTACCCGTATGTGGTTTGGGCTGAGTTGGCTAAAAAGAGATTGAGATGCCACCGCCAGTTGTGTGGGCTAGCTATAAGAGATTGAGATGCTAGACCCGTTTGTCCAAGTGCTAACTAGGCCAGACTAGTTACCACTTGCGGGGGAGTGTTGGAGTTCCCACATCGGAAAATAAAGATGAGTATCACTTGCATATATTGAAGGGTGAAGCCCTACCTATCAGCTTAAGCTTTTGGGTTAGAATTGTGGATCCCGACTTTATATGCAAGTGGTTAATTTTACCCGACACTCTATCCGTTGTTCTTGGTCCGCCGGAATTTTTAACATCTTCACTAAAGTGGAAGAAATTTAGTTTTCTTTCCTGTTAGTACATTTTGCCTTTTCATTTTCTTTTCCTTCCACTTTTTTTTCTTTTTCTCTCTAACCAAACAAGAAAAATGTTTTCCTTCTCAATTTCTTTTCCTTTCTCTCTCAAATTCCTTGAACCATACATAGTGTTAGTATATTTTACCTTTTAATTTTCTTTTCCATCCACTTTTGTTTTCTTTTTCTCTCTAACCAAACAACAAAAACTATTTTCCATCTTAATTTCGTTTCTTTTCCCTTTAAAATTCTTTGAACCAAACCTATTGTAAGAGTATTCATTTCATGATCACTGAGACTAAAACAACACAAAGACGTGTTCAGAAGACATCTTGGTTTACCACCCATGAGAGGTCCATTTGATCAAAAAACTCCTTTAAACTACAAAGTGAGGAATGAAAATCAGGCTTGGCAGTCTCCTTAGAGCTTGGAATCTACCTAGCAAACCACACATTCCATATTGGCTGTAAGGAAGGAGTATGTGGGTCACTTTCAGGCCTATTGATTGTATTGGAAAAGGGAATGGTCAAGCAAGGTACTAAGCTTCTGTGCAATACCTTGTGATGTAGGATGGCTAAGTGTGGAAGATATGCTTCATGGAGAGATTCTTAAGAGATGGAGCAAAAGTTTCCTGAAGTTGTTCTCGGAACTAGTTATACGTAGTACTAATGTAATACTATTTTTGTTTGTTGTAATAGGTACTGGGCAGGGTTTTTTTTCCTGAGATTATGGTGTTTTCTTTTAAGGGGGAAGGAATATTGCAGTGCAACTAACTCCAGCTTAGCTCGCAGTTTGTTATAGTTTTAGCTAGACATTTAAGCCTTCAAATACCATTTGTACTTGCTCTTGTTCGCTATAAAAAAGAAATAAGCAATCTCAATTCCCAGTTTCTCTCTCTCTCTCTCTCTAGGCTCATCTCCCTCCTTTATCTCAATTCTGTTACATCTATGAATCGAATGAGTCGATTCATCACCATAGCTTCATCCTCGAAGATCTCCTTCTCCATTCTTGAGTATCCTCCTGCACTGATTAGTCTCTGATGTTTCACTTGCATTATCGAGATGCAGCATCAATGAGGGTGGTGGTATTAGTGAGTTAGAAACTAGTTTCTTCATGTGTTTTGTGCATTGTAGTGTTTTTATTTACAACCGCCAACAATTACGATTATCTTCTTACATCTACAAATTCTTTTTAAGCCAATTGTTTCTATATTTTGTATTGATTTGGGGTGGTGTGTAGGTGACTGGGTGTGTGTGTTGGTGGATGTGCCTTGGAGGTGGCAATGTGGTTGTCGTAGTGTGGCGGTGGCAGTGACTATGTTGCGGCAATAGTGTGACAGTGTGGCAACAAAGTCAGACCCATGAATGGTAGTAGTAATGTAATGGTGGTGGTAGTAGTGAGGCTTGATGGTGGTGAGAATGGTAGTGGCAGTGACACTGATGACAATGTGGTTATGGTGGTGTTAGCGTGGTTGTGATTGTGTTAGTGTGGCGGCACTGATAACAATGTGGTTGTGGTGGTAGTACAAAGATAGAGTTTACAGTGTGGTCGAGCAAGTATGGTGGCGCTGGTGACAGTTTGGTGGCAAATGTGGCATTGTAGCCACAATGGTGGCAGCGTGCGGCTGGCGGAGATGGTAGTGTGGTAGTGTGGCAAAAATGGTGATAGTGTGGGGGCAGTATTGGCAGTGTGGGCGGTGGTGGCTGACAGCTATAATGCTTGTCGGTGTAGTGGTGGTGGAAATGTGGCGGCAAAGGAATGCAGTGTGGGGACGAAAGCAGTGGGTGGTGATGGCAATGTGGCGGTAGAGGGAGGCAATGCAGTGCGGGAGGGGGTAGTGATGATGGCAGTGTGGCGGCGGAGTTGCCAAAGTGGCAGTGGAGGTTGTACTATGACAAAGGAGATGACAGTGTGTCGGGGGAGGTAGTGGATTTTGAGGGAGAGACAATTGGTGACGAGGGTAAATAGGCAAAAATCAATTTATATTACTTATCCCGCTCCTACAAAAGAAAAAACTATTTCGGGTGTTGAACTTCTTTTTAATCCTATTAGAGACTTCTCCCGTGTTCAAAGTAAGACAATATTTTTAGAACAGAGATTGTAGCTTTCAACAGTAATACGGCACTCCACGAGTACATATACGGCTGCCTTGTGATTCTCACCTCCAAAAACGAAACTGTAAATGAAAAACGAATTACTTCTCATTTAGTAAATGCAAAATCCAAAATTGCTGTAAACTTTACTCGTGGTAACTAAGCTTTAAAGAATTTTTTCAATTCGGCTCGGATCAAATGACATCGAACAAAATGTCATAAAATCACCCGAGCCACGCACACACATGATCGACTCTAGTTAGATGACATGCTATAGTGAGATGACACCAAGCTCATCACATTACACTGCAAAGCTCAAAAATGGTGACTTTTGGTGTTCAAAATGGTGAGCTTTGCTTTGTTTACATGTGAGCTTTTATATATATATATATATATATATATATATATATATATATATATATATATATATATATATATATATATATATATATATATATATATATATATATATATATATAGTTACTACAATTTTTAAGAATCAAAAGGAAAAAAAGAGGAAGGATATACCTGGAAAAAAGTAGTCAGACTCGAGGGTGTAGTTTGCTAATGGAATGACGAATGATTTTATTCTTGAGGTGCAGTATTTAGTCCGACTTGCCATCTTTGTGTTATCCTGCACGGACGAAATTAAAAGTGAGAAAAATCAAAATAGGATTCTAAGAGTATTAAAATACTCTAAATAGCAGTGTTATATGTTTCGTACTTGTAATTTCGATTTTTTCCTTTAATTAAACAAAAAATGTTCATTATTCACTGCCAAAAAATATGATTATTTTGGACAGTGTGGTTGTTTACTCATAATTGTGTAGTGGGCAGTGTGATTTTTTATATGTGAGTTTTTAATGTGGTAGTATAGAATGAATATATGTTGTTATATCTTACGTTAGTGTGTAAATGTATTATTGTGTTCTTTAATTTCATGTTGTAGTGTAATGTCCATTGATTTATGTGGCAGTGATTTTATGTATTAATTCTACACTGTCAAAAAATGTATGACTATTTTCATGTATGAATTCCACACTGCCCAAAAATGTATAGCTCTTTTTATGTATGAATTCCACACTGCCAAAAATGTATATGATTGTTTTCATTTATGAATTCCACACTGCCCAAAAATGTATGATTGATTTTATGAATAATCTATTATACCAAAACACATTGGCCAAACATGGGCTTGGCTTTTTTTGGTCTTTCTTGATTTTGTATAATGTTAGAAGATGTTAGCATTAGACATATGCTGAATTTCATTTATGTGGTACTGAAAAGAACTGGATAATGAAGGTATTATATTGTAAATTTTAAGACTTTGTAAGCAGCATACACTGCAACATTATGTAAAATTGTGCAACTTAGCACACTGGCCAAAACATAGGACATAACACACTGCCAAAAAGTATACCTAGATCACAAGCATTCCACACTGTCAAAAATATTTGAGCTTACACTTCATACTTTGTTTATTAAAGTTATTCAAGCACTAGTCATTTTGGTGATTTTTTGTGTCCGCTTCCAATGGAACTCAATAAATAATTTATTACATTGGGATGTTTAGATATAAATCTCATTCGACCAAAACACACTAGGAAAACATGGTCATAGGACATTTCCAAAAAGTGTAGCTAGAAGTTGATTATTCCACATTGTCAAAAGAATATCACCCCTATTCAGTAACACGTTTCCGTAACGAACTCTTGAATGTTCAAACCCAATAGGCATAGAACGAAGCACATGGCTTTTGCACAATATGAAATTCAATTCATAATTCATAACATTGGCAGTTTTATATGTATGTCTAATTTCACTGTCATATTATTAATGGAAGTTAATGAAGTACATACAAATTTGTTTAGGTCACTATCTTTTATACACTGTCATATTTTCACTCTTGTCTGCCACATTATATATAGAAGACAAATTCACTGCCAAAAAGTGTTTGCATAACATGATCAATCTGTGCTACCCATATATTTATAGCCACCATATTGAGTAAAATATTTCATAACAGTCTCTTTCACTGGTAAAACCCTATTGTCATAAAATCAACCACAAGCTGTTTGCACAATATGAAAGTCAAATAATAATTTATAACATTGGCAGTTTTATATGTAAGTCACATTGTCACCACTTGTTTATAAAAAATTTTATGTAGTTTTTTTAATATATAATTCCTATTTTTTAATTATACAATAATTTTAACTTATATTGATTTGAAAATAACTTCAATCAAACATCGTAAATCGAATAAGAGCCCTATTTTGGATGAAGGAAGTATTTATAATTGGCATATTTTTATGATATAATTTTGATACATCGTATTTTTATTATATATATTTATTCAAAACTACATTTAATTGATTGACGAAAGAATTTGATAAAAAGAGTACTATGCCACTATGCACAAAGTATACATTATGTGGGTCCAAATTTGATATAGGAGTTGAAAGAGGAATTGAAACAATTGATAGTGAGATAGATAAAAGGAATTGACAATATAAAGGGTATGATTGAAAGAGATTGACAACATAAATAGCTAATTTGGTAAAAAAACAATACGCAGTGCTAAATGCGTAGTATTATATGAGTTAGAGTGCTACGTAGGGTGATTTCATTAAAAATAAATCATAGCATATAGTCACAATCCCAATAGGTCTCTGGTTATGAAAATTACAGATTCCAACTTAATATCTCGTGCACAACCTTCTCATCTCGTACAGTGTGTTGCAACGTTGTGGTGTAGCATCTTCAGTTTTAACCTCAAAAACTAGGGTAACTCTAGAAGTCTAAATAAAATAAACCTCTCCTAAGAAATAGAGGTTTCTAAGTAATAAAGTTTCTAACTAATACGGAGTATGAGATAGGATTTTATTTGTCAAAAGATTAGCCAACACCTTGAAATTAACACAATATAGGCACTTCATAAGCGGATGAATATTTTGAGTAAAAGTATATGCTATGGAGCTTGAATATATGTATATTAAATTTTGAATTGTTGAAATTTAGTGATGGTAGAAAAATGAAGGGAAATGATAGTGATGGACACCCGAGATTTTGGATGGGTGCGGGGAAGGAGGTGGTCGCGGTCGGTCTAACTCTCCCTTAGTCCGAATTTAAATTTTTTCATTTGACTTTTCACGTTCTTTAATATTTCCTCTGTCCCAAAAACTCCTTTCCTTTTATTTTTTCTTGTCCTACAAGACCTTTATCTTTTCTATTAAAAACCATTCCCTTAAATTTCATAAAAGTCAAAACGAGAACATTTTTGTGATATTGAGGAAATATCACACTTTGAGCATATATATATATATATATATATATATATATATCCATATATAATGGGTGTATTTCACCCATGACCGGTCAACGGTCAAGACCGGATAGTTGACCGGTCAAAGAAGTCAAACTTGCAAGAGAGGTCTAGATCGTCGGCGAAGGGATGACTGGTTGACCAAAAGGTTGACCGGTACGCTTGGGATAGTATACCGGTCAACCTATACCGGCGGCTAATTCACCCTACAAAGATGGCCACGCCAGCCTGCAAGAACCAACCGGTGTAGTTCCTAGAGATTGGGGAAGTGTCGGCAAGAGGAGTCCAAAAGGACTTGGACTGTAGTGTTTGGAATTGCAGGGATGCTGAGGGAATATTTCCAAACCAGAACGCGACAAGGGTGCCACCCGCCGCGCAAGATGACAAGGCAGAGCCAGTCACTTCACACCACGCCAGCAGCATGCTCCCACGTGGGCGCACGTGGTCCTGCTCCCCAGCCTAGTATATATACCTCTTGTAACTCTCGAATAAGGGGATCCGAATTTCACTCTCTAAACTCCTTTGTAAAAGCACCCGTGCATTCTCCGTTATAATATAAATTGGGCTACAGGTGTTCCACCTAAAGTCCTACCGGTCACTTTGCGTGTTTTTACCTTTCTTACTTTGCCAAATCAAGCGAACTATTCTAGACCCGGTCTAGTATAGTTTGACCGGTCAAGTAATTTACACCATCATTTTT